GCAAGTTCTATAACCTCTTTTAGGTATTCCAAATCAGTTAGAGGCTGAAGACGGGCTTACAGGTTTTCTATAAACACGTTTTCCAACATTCATTTCTATCCCACTCAAGTGTCTGTTTTACAGTAGTAGGCAAGGGAAACCAATATTCATAAGACAGTCAAGCATTTTAGTATTATTTCCCACTTTACACTATGCCTAGGTCCCTCTATCTCAGAGCCCTGTTGTTCTAACGTTGAGCATGCATCACTATTTACATCTGTCCTATTTAGGCCATGCAAACCTGCCTCAGTGTTCTGTCTCTCTTGTTCTTCCACCTACTCCCCCCGTCTTGTATTGCCCCACCCCAACCCCACTGGTGTGGTTACCTTATATTCCATTAACTCTTCCCTCCATTTAAGACAGTCTATTTTATCCTGTAATCTACCTGACCTTCTCACCACCTGGATCTCTGTTCCTCTGTGTTTACCTTCTTTCACATTGTAATTGTTTTGATCATAGACTTACCTCCCAGATCCTCTGTTCTTTTCATTTTATTCTGTTCTTGACTCTTCCATTTGTCGATTGAGTTCAGGGTGATGCTGCCAAGTACGTTATTCTCTGGTTGTTGTTTGTTCTTATTGATTGTCAGTCCACATAACTCTCGTTAGGATGTTTTTCATAGCAGGATTGGCTTTGGCAAAATCCCTTAGCTTCTGTTTATCCTGGAATGTTTTGATTGCACAACCGTATTTGATTGACAACTTAGCTGTGTGGCGGATTCTTGGGTAGAAGTTTTTTTCTTTCAGGGTTTTATACATGTCTCCCTATTGCCTTTTTGCCTGCATGGTTTCTGTTGAGAGATCCAAGCTTAATCTGATTTGCTTGCCTTTGTATGTTACACTTTTCTTTCCCCTAGCTGCTTTCAGCATTCTGTCCTTATCTCTGATTTTGGAAAGCTTGATTATTATATGTCTTGGTGATTTTCTTTTAGGGTTTATCCTTCCTGGGGTTCATTGAGCGTCTTGAATGCTTATCTTTTTGCTTTTCAGGATGTTAGAGAACTTTTCTTCCAGAAGTTCTTCAGCTATCTTCTCTGTGAATTTGTGTGATTCTTCCTGTTCCAGAATGCCAAACATTCTTAAGTTATTCCTTTTCATGTTGCCCATCATGGATCTTAGGCCTTCAGATTTTTTTATCCTTTTTTGTGCTTACTCTTCTATCTTAGTAGTTTTGAGAGATTTATCTTCTAGCTCACTAGCTCTGGCTTCTATCTCTTCAATTCTGCTCCTTTGCCCTTTCAGTGTAGTGTCCATTTCTGATATTCTGTTATTAATCATTTGGACCTTTTTCTGTAGATTTTGAATTGTTTCCAATGTTGTATCTGTGTTATTTGATTGTTCTTGTAGCACTTTCCTAACTTCTTATTTTTCTTAACTCCATTGTATAGTGTTTTGATACATTAAATTTTTTTTTTAAATTCCTTCTCAGGCATTTCTAAAGCCTGCCCAACTTCCAGTATGGAGTGTAGGTTTCCTTCTAGCTCATTTGCCTTAGTCCCTTTATCTTGTTTCTGGACATGTGCTCATATGGTCATTTGCTTCTGTTTTTTGGGCATATTCAGGAGTTATCCATGACCTTAATAATTAGATGGGTAAGTAGTTTGGTATTTTTTTTTTTTTTTATGATTGCCTTCCAGGTAGATGTGATCAAGGAGATGGGCTTCCCTTTTCACTCTTCTTCCTGAGAAATTTCAGGATGCCACTGTTGGTTGTTTTGGCCTATTTCCTTTTTAATTTGCCTGTGTCAAATTAGGCTTTTTTCCTAGTGACAAACAGTTCAGGCCTGGATGTGGCCGTTTTGCACTGCTTTTTGTTTTTAAGTGGAAACTGTCACTTTAAATTTAGAGGAGATCTGTGTGCATGTGTAGTAGAACCCTCCAGTGGTGGGGGTGGGGTGTCCACTTGCTTCGGGACCCTCTCTAGTCACCAGAATGGAGATGTGTAGATAGTGAGAGACCAATGAACTGATACCACACACACAAAAAAGAATGTCTGTACCTTGTTTTTCCACGGTTCTATCAGGCGTCCGTTGCTGCTCTGATCCCTGCTCCACTTGATCTCACCCAAGATGGCGGCCTCAGGAGCAGCTGAACACCTTGGATTAGAAAGCACTGAGTTTCCTGCTTGTGGTACAAATTTCCCTCGCTGTAAGCCTTCCAACCTCCTAAATATTCCTTTATATGTGGTTCAGATTGTGGCACCATGCCGTGAGCCTGCTTGGTCAGGTATTCTGTGTTGTTGCTGATGGAGCTCCATTCATATCATTGTTGATTGTCAATTTGCCTTCTGGGTTGCATGGTTTAGGCTGAGATATCAAAGCTTAATCCTGTTGGTTCCCCTTTGTATGTAACTTTTTATTTTTCATGAGTTATTACCAGGATTTTATTTCTCCTGAGCTTTGTCTTTGGTATTGAAGAATTTGATTATACTATATCTTTGTGATTTTCTTTTGGGGTCTGTTACTTTGAGGTTTGTTTATCTTCTTGAATGGTTATCTCCTTGTCTTTCATGATTTTAGGGAAAATTTCTTCTCAAAGCTCTTTGAATATCTATGCTTTGTATGGTGTCTTCTCGTTCTGGAATGCTAATCATTCCTAAGTTATTCCTTGGCATGTTGTCCCTCATTAATTGCCTTACTTCAGATTTTTTCATTCTTTTTTTAGATATTGTTCTTTTACCTTACTAATTTTGAGAGATTTGTCTCCAATATCAGTAATTCAGGCTTCCATTGATTCAAATAAGCAAACTCCTTTGTTCTTTCAATATTTTATCCATTTCTCAAATCTTAGTATTAATCTTCTGAATTTCTGTATGCAGGTGTGTATTGTCTCCAGACCTTTTTCTGTTTTGTTAGTTTGTTTCTTTGAACAGAAATTGCTGCTTTCGAGATATTGTGGTTGTGTTGTATTCATATTGATTGTATGTTGGTCTATTCTTAGGCACTCTCACCAACTGCCTCCTTGTGAGTGTGATCAAATTGGCTTGTGCACTGTTCTTATGGAAAGATTATTATACAAATTATTTTGTTTATTCTCTAGAGCTGTTTGAGCATATTTAGACACATATTCTATTGTTTTGTAAGTGATTCTGTTTTGCGTTTTTGTGTTCATTTAAAATATTTGACATCTCTAGGTTTTAAAGTTATTTATTTTTTCACGTGTATTTCCCAAATTTGAATGCTTAATTTGGTTTACTTCTTAGTTTAGTAAGAAAAATAATGTTTCATGTTATTTTTATGAGTACCCATATACAAACTTCCAAGCCCCCGCCTTCTGTTTATTCTGTCCCATTTGCTTGTTGTTAAGTGCTATTGAGTCGAGATATGACTCATAGCGACCCTGTACAGGGTTTCCAAGGAGCAGCTGGTGTCCCATAGGTACCCCATATATGACAGAGTAGAACTGCATTAGGGTTACCTAGATAATAGATCTTTATGGGAGCAGACAGATTTATGTTACTCCTGTGGCATAGCTGGTAGGTTTGAACTGCTGACTATGTGGTCAACAGCCCAACATGTAACCCAATGTGTCTCTAAGGCAACTTAAGAGGACCCGTATTTAATTGAACATACGTCCATGTTGTTGTTATGTGCCATGGAGTTGGTTCCGACTCATAGTGACCCTGTACTGTGTTTCCGAGGTTGTAAATCTTAACTGGAGCAGAAGGCCTCATACCTTTCTCCTGCGGAACAGCTGGTAGTTTCAAACTGCTGACCGTATGATTAGCAACCTGTTTTGTAACCACTATGCTACCAGAGCTCCTCCCCCTCTCTCTCTTTCTCTCTCTCTCTCTCTCTCTCTCTCTCTCTCTCTCTCTCTGTATATAGTTGTTATGTGCTATGGAGTCAGTTCTGACTCATAGAGACCCTGTACAGGGTTTCCGAGGCTGTAAATTTTTATGGGAGCAGAAGGCCTCATCTTTCTCCCACGTAACAGCTGGTAGTTTCGAACTGATGACCTTGAGGTTAGCAGCCCGATTCATAACCACTGCGCTACCAGAGCTTATGTTCTCGTCACTGAGCAAATATTGCTTGATTATAGTATCCACGAGTTTGAGTCTTAATTATATTTACCTCAAAATGATATACACAGTTTTATGTTTATATATTTTGAAAATTTAAGATAATAAATATGTTACTGCAAATGTTTTCCATTCTAAGAGTTGTAATTTATTATTATTTTTTACTAGGTGCCTTAGCTGGACCAATTATTGTGGAGCCACACGTCACAGCAGTCTGGGGAAGAAATGTTTCCCTGAAGTGTCTAATTGAAGTAAATGAAACCATAACACAAATTTCATGGGAAAAGATACATGGCAAAAGTTCTCAAACTGTTGCAGTTCATCATCCTCAGTATGGATTCTCTGTTCAAGGAGAATATCAGGGAAGAGTCTTGTTTAAAAACTATTCACTTAATGATGCTACGATTACACTGCATAACATAGGATTCTCTGATTCTGGAAAATACATATGCAAAGCTGTTACTTTCCCACTTGGAAATGCCCAGTCCTCTACAACGGTTACTGTATTAGGTAGGTATGCTTAAATTGCCCTATTTGGTGCTTGTGCTAGTGTTAATACAAAAGCATTTTAAAGAATTCCATATGGTAAAGAATGTATATTTGAGTATTCTTTGGTTTAAAGTAAAATAAGTCAAATATGATTTTTCAAGTTTTTACATAAAATTTTATGATTCCAGGTTCTCTGTACCTATCTATGTAATGCTACGTAGTTCAGAGCTACTTTACTTACTGTAGGAAAAATAGTATTGCATTACTTTGACATTTGTTTTCACTATATCTCCTCAGATTTTCAGTGACTAAGCTTTCCCATTCTTTTAAATGATAGTTTGTCATCTTGGAGCCACTGACACATTATGTTTCGTTTTTCATATAAAATTTTATTCCTGCTATTGTAAATTTGAATAGCTATTTGTATCTTTTCTCTTACTTCTGATAAATAATCTTCAACCTTTTATATCTGATAGCTGTTGAAATTTTAAGTATGCTTATAAAGATTTAAGATAGCCATAAAGTGGAAAGTGAAGTTTAAGATAGCCTTTCAGTGGAAAGATGGTTTTCTTTTCACTGCAATGAAGAGTAGAAAGTAAACTGACTTAGGAAGTCTAGTGTGTACTTTTGAAAGAATGGGACAAGGAGTAATGAGTAATAGCAACCTGCATAGAGATGCACTGCTCATATTCCCCCCTACATGGTGATTAGCAGACAACCTCTAGCTGTTATCTCCTTGAAGACACCTTCAGCTTTTGAGTTGATGTCATATTCCTGGAGGGGCTGAAGGCAATATCTTCTTGGTATCAATGATTGAACAGTATACTGGTGTGAGAGGCTAACCATTTCTATCCAATGTGGAATGGGTTATCTTTGCTCCAGATCTCCCAGGTGGCCTGGGAGAAGGTTTTCTGATAACTTCTGCTCAATTCTTCTTTCTCCCTTTTCTACTGGATGCTGCTCCTTGGTAAACTTTTTGTACATCTCATTTAATCTCAGTGTCTGCTTTCCAGAGAATCAAACAACCAACTAACCAAACAATGCTAGGATCTTTGAAATGGAGGAAAACAGTTTTGTTCAAATTTTTTATATATTTCTTCATCTTGAGAAATTTGTTAAGTGCCATTGAATCAGGTCTGACATGTGCTGACACACTGTATTGGGTTTCTGAGGAACAAGTGCTGGATTTGAATTGCTGACCTTGTGGTTGATAGTCCAGTGCTATCTTATAATAATGCCACATCAGTACTCCATCTTGAGAGATACCATTTAAGGATTGTTGTTAAGTGTCATAGAATTGGTTCCAACTCATAGCATCCCTGTATAGGATTTCCAAGGAACAGCTGGTGAGTTTGAACTGCCAACCTTGTGGTTCAAACTGCCTGTGCAGTTCAGTGCTTTAGCCCACAGCACCACATTAGGATTCCTTTTAAGAATAGAAGTAGAAATAAGTGTGTTTTTGCTACTACTCTAAGAGCAGTGGGATATCTAAAAAGTTAATACTTTTGAATACTTTCCCACTTGTTATTGTTGTTACGTCCCGTTGAGTTAATTCTGACTTATGCACAACAGAACAAAAGATTGCCTTATCCTATGCCATTCTCACAATTGTTATGTTTCAACCTGTTGTTACTGCAGTATGTTAGTTCCTCTCATTGGTGGTCTTCTGTTTCTCTAATCCTCTACTTTACCAAGCATGATGCCCTTCTCCAAGGACTAGTTTGTCCTGACAACATTCCCTAAATATGAGAGACAAAGTCTCACCATCTTTGCTTCTAAGGAGTATTCTGGCTGTACTTCTTTCAAGAAAGATTTTGTTCTTCTGGCAATCCATGGTACTTTTGATATTATTTGCCAACACTGTAAATCAAATACATAAATTCTTCCACAGTATTCTTTATTCATTGTTCAAATTTCCCATATCCATTCATTAGGTGATTGAAAACGCCATAACTTGGGTCAGGCACACCCTGGCCTCATATTCCTGTCATCCTCATAGTGCCATTTTTGCTCTTTTAACACTTTAGAGAAAAGAGGTGTTTTGCAGCAGATTTGCCTAATGTAGTACCTTGTTTTATTTTTTAACTGCTGCTTCCATGAGTTTTGATTGTGGAGCCAAACAAAATTAAGTGTTTGACACCTTCAGTCTTTCTCCCATTTATCATGATGTTATTTATTGGTCCAGTTGTGAAGCTTACTTGATGGATTGTTATTTATAAATCATGATGTTATTTATTGGTCCAGTTGTGAGGATTACTTGATGGATTGTTATTT